TAGAGTCATAACACTTGCACCGTGAAATATGATCAAAATAAACAGTAAATATTAGTGTCTATTTATTGACTAATAGTAGATATTACTGAACCAGAACACAGTTCATGAAAACAAAAGGCAATACACAGGAGACTTGACAACTGCCATCTTTATTTCATGTACAATCAAGACAAAAGACACATCTAGATCTAAAATAACCACACAATACACTAGGGAGCGCGTTTAACGAATCTTTATTTATTTGCGCTGCTGCCGTAAAATCAAGACAAAAGACACATCTAAAGCTAAAATAACCACACAATACGCAAGGAAACGCGTTTAACGAATCTTTATTTATTTGCGCTGCTGTAGAATCAAGACACAAGACAAATCTAAAGCTAAAATAACCACACAAGACTAAATGAAACGCGTTTGGAATCTTTATTCTCTGCGCCGCAGCAAAATTAAGATAGAAGACATTGTAAGGCTAAATTGAAAATACTGTAACAATATCAAACCCAGTACGCAAATGAACGTGTTTTCTAACGAGTTTATTATAAGAGCCTAAACTAAATATCAAGACAAGACGCACTGAAATGACCCGCAAAAATCTATAAACAACGTGGTTTCGAACGAATTCTATCGCTCAAAGCTGAGTTATTTGACTAGTCAATATAAAAAAGCGACTTGACAACAACCAGCGGCGACGTTTTATATTTATCCTTTGCTTGAAGCTCAAAATAAAACACAATAAATTTTATTAATCATTTCGGAAATGTTTGTGAGATACGTACCTTTTGAGCATGGGACATTAGTTACCAAATCATTATTTCAAGCAGCACTCGTAACAGTTATAAAGTTAGTTACTATAGCTATCTATTTCACTTTCACCCTATAATCAACTCTTTTTGTCCTTTCAATAAACTCGATTTCCATGAAGCCTACATTTAACACAAGCTCTAGCCCTTCCCGACATCTTTCCTCTGGGTTTAACAAAGAACTAAACCAGCAGCTCTTTATTTCTTTCCGTAATTGTGGGTGGGACATTTTTTAACAAATTCCTCCTTCTCCATTAGGTAGCTTTTAATAACGTTGTTTGGCTTCCAAGTCTCTTGTGTATTACCTTTTGTTGTTAAGAATTGTTTTGGTTCAGTGATATCTACTATTTCATACAAATAGTCAGTAAATAAAAACTAATAGTTACTACTTCTTTGATTTTGTTTCACGGTGCAAGTGTGATGACTCTAGTCGAAGAGCCCGAGAGGTCTCATTGTTTTAGTATTAACATACTAGTTGGAGAAAAAATGTTATGTATGTACTACTATGTATGCTATGCTATGTCATGACGTAGTTACAAAAAGGATGAAAGCAGTAAATGGCATGCACCTCACGTTTGTCACTGAAATATTTATCCCTTTCCACCGAAATTAATACTATGATGTACGATGTCGATCTCTATCCGGTTGCTCTCCAAGGGGGAATAAATAGTATTCTTGGCAAGATCCTCATGGGTTTTTGGTTGGTATTCATATCTTTCAGTGGATGGCAAATCTAGCAAGTGGAGCAAATGGACGCCATGTTCTTTGTCATGTGGAGGTGGGACACGATTCCGTGTCCGTTCCCAGACCAACCCAGCATCAGCAAATGGCGGCCAAAAATGTACTGGGGGCTACAAGGTGGAGAATCAGACCTGCAACTCTCAGCCATGCCCTGGTATGAAACACAAACCATAATATATATTTCATCTTGATTACACCTTAACGTAGTAGGGTGCTAAATCTGACAACATCAAACCTAAGGAAGTCAAATCAGTCGGCGATTCCAATGTATGGGAACTTCCTTGAACGGTTTCACGAGTGGCTTGACCACATTCCGACACAAAAATAACAGATTCAAACAGTTTTGGAAGCAATTGTGGCCTCAATCCTTTTTCGATTTGCTTAAAATTGTCATAGATAATTATTTCAAACAATTTCCCTCAAAATCCGTTGCTAGCTGAATGACTCAAAGATACTGACATAAAACCTTACCAGGGTAGGGTAGTTACTGGATTCGACTGGTTTCTGACTAGTTTCTGGTAAGCTCCTACTCCTCCCTTGTACTAATCAAAGCTCGATTCTGATTGGCTAACATCAGCATTCAGGATTCCTGTGTGAACAGCTTTGATCGCGTAAACTAGTCGGGATACCTTTGTGAATCACTGATGACGTCAAAAGAAACCAGTTCACTCACCTCGTGATAGTCCGCTGTCAGGCAGTCACACAGATTCTGGGCTCAAGATTGCCTTTTTTGGCGAAAAATATCGATGGGTCCCCTCTCACAAGACAAAAAGAGCTAATATTCCAGTTATTAAATGTGGGTTTCCTGTGGTAAGATTCTCAAAATGGCGGCTAGAACATCGTATTGCAAGCTACACGGTAAAATACTCTCTAATTCTTTGCCYTTTGTGTAATTTCATTTGAAATGTCYCCTATTTTTATTATATTTTTGCGAAAATATCTCACTAGTTTCCGGAAACTATAGGTGAACCAGTCTAAATCCGCCCCTACTCCATCCTGATAAATAAAAAAACTTACACAACTTTGCTCATGYGACAATCATATGACTAATCTGTTACAGATTGCCTAATAACGCGGGCTCGTATATCGTACAAAATACATGCGCAAG